CGAGCCTTCTCTCCTCCGGGCTGAACAACCCCGGCTCCCTCAGCCTCTCCTCGCAGGAGAGATGCTCCAATCCCCTCCTCATCCTCGTAGCCCTCCGCTGGACTCTCTCCAGTAGCTCCTCATCTTTCTTGAACTGGGGAGCTCAGCACTGGACCCAGCACTGCAGATGGGGCCTCACTAGGGCAGAGTAGAGGGGGAGAAGAACCTTCCTCGACCTGCTGGCCACGCTCCTCTTACCTGTAGTACCTCAGACACTCACTCAGGTTTTGCATCAAGATTCCAAGGCTGAACAAGATGTTTGGGCCCGTTTATTTAGAGGGTCTGCTACTGCTCACGTCAGCTTCTGTTATCTGTGGGATGAACCGAATTGTGCTGGCAATGAAGAGCCTTGTAAAAGCTTGAATGGATGGGTGATTAGCCAGCCAACTTGATCTTCGTCCAGACAGATTTCCAGATAAAATAGCACTGAACCACGGAGTAGGTCCATGATGCTGATGTTTTATTTTTCTATTGCAATTGCATGGTACAAAGCCCAGCTGTGAATCAGGGCCCCCTTCTGGTAATTACAGGTGGGAAAACACATTTCTTGCCACGCAGTTCAGAGAAAGCTGGATCTTCCAGAGCTCTAGGCTTACTTGTTTGTGGTCATTTGCCAGAATGTGGCTAGCAAAACCTCTGCGCTTTTGTGTCTGTTATCATATTGCTAGATATAAGATGAAAGCCCTGTTTAACATCCAGCTTTTTGGTTAAAGTGGCTCTTTTTCTCCTGGGTCTGCTTTGCATTTATACCCAGGGCACTTGTAAAACATTTTCTGCCTCTCCTGTGCAATGGCATAGTAATCTGTTTCCTGGATATCTGCTTGTCATGCAGTCTGACAGTTCTCCTCCCCTAGGAGGTGTTGGCTTCTTCATCTCCTCTGAGGCAGTGTAGCTGCCAAAGTCCATTTCAGTCCATTTGGACTGAAAACTCCTATCTGGCATTCTCCCCCCCATCTGCACGGGTGAGAGAAATGTCAAGCAATGAAACACAAGAACTCCCTTGGTCTGTCAGTTCACGTGAAAGGAGGAGAAAGCGTAACTGCCCTTCACAGATGTTGGATGCCCTGCAGAATTACCGATTGTACAGTAGTAGAAAGTGTTGCCAACCAGGTCACTGTCAATTCGCTGCAGAGCAGCTGACCCAGGCAGCAGAGGAAATAGGAGGAGATAGGGAACAGCACGCTTGGGCTGAGAAAAAGGCAGATTCTATCCTGTTTTAAGGGGAAGAAGGTTTGAACTCTGATGTTAGGCCAGCATAATGCACTGGCGAATGGGGAAGAGGCATCCGATAGCACAGCTACACGCTGTGTTAGCTCTGGGTCGAGCCTGGCTCTCGTGTCTGCACTCCTGTGCTGGCTGTTCTCTGGTCTGTGTCTGAGTAGCTTAGGCTTAGGCTCCAGTCCGACCGCTTGTTCAAACCAGACAGCACGTCCAGCAAGCCCGTGTGAAAGCACAGTTATCAAGGACAGCGGAGATTTAATCACATTTGAAAAAAGAGCTCTTCAATTTCAAAGCAACTCTATTATTGGAGAAGAGGAGTTAGCATTAGTCATGGATATAAGCAGTGGTTCATGGACACAGGCTCCCTGGGTGGTAGCTGACTACAAAACCTAGTGTAAGCATAGTGCAGCTATACGTTGATATGAATTGCTAGCACCTTTTTTATAAGAATGGCACTGCTGATCTGTCCAAGCCAGTTTTCATCAACAAATCTTGTGCCAGTGCACAGGATGCACAGGATGTGCTCTCTTACCATTTTGGACCGTGCCTTGGGTATTGCCGTGAGTACTAGTTGGTTTTTAGTCCTCAAGCCCTGCCCCTGCCCCAAACCCAGAGATTTCTAAGCCTCACTGCATCCTCTTGAATGCTCTTAGGGCGGTGCTCAGTTCTGTTTGGATCAGCAGCACCATAACCTCACCCCTGGAGCATCCAGACAGAGTATCTCTCCACACAAAAACAATTGCAACTTTTTGTTCTCTGGCTGGGATTTCTGGACTGCTGCTTTTTGTTCGGGTTTATTTTATTCTCAACATAAATAAAGAAAACAAAACTAGTGCAAGTAATAGTCTGAAACTACTAAAATTTCATTGCAGGAGACGTGGAACTAGAACAAGGAAAACATTCTTGGGGCGGGGGTTGGTTCTGAGTAGAATCAGTTAATCTTGGGTTCAGACTTTCACTCGCTCAGCAGGCCTGCCCTACAATATTTACTAAAAATCACAGCAAAGTGCATTAAAAGAACATTAAAGCAGACATATCAGCCCACAAAGAGCAAGCACAGCCAGGGATGCTCTGAGATGAGCCGGCGGTGTGCTTATCTCAGGCTTTCCTGCCTATCAGATGGTGCCCCCTTTTTGGCCGGCACCAGAGATGCTGGGATGCTGCAGAGGGAGTGCAGTGTTTCTGGTCAGGCCGTTGCCCACTCTGGCACTTCATTTTGTATTGCCATTTCGTCCTGTGCAAGGGATGGAGAACATGTCCCCGCTGCACAGATGCTAATGGTAGGGCAGTGTGCGGAGCAGTGGTCAAACCTCCCCTCCCTCTTCCCCTCTATGTTCTCGTGCTGTAACGACCAGCCTTAACTAAGAAAGATTTAATCCTCAAAGAGCGGCATTACCATGGGCGTATTCATGACCGTTACCTGGGTCTCTGCTCTGCCCCAGAGTCTGATTCCTCGAGGAGAGCCTGAGTTGAAGCCAGAGGTTCTTCCTGCTGCCAGAAGGCCAGGGCCGAGCCATGCAGAGAGGGTTCAGCTGCCACTGTGCTCAGAGCAGCCCTGAGGTGATGCCCTCATCTTGAACTTGATGCAGTTCAAGGCGCTGTGAAGTCTTTGTTTTCCTTAAACGACCTTTGCTTGCACAAGACAGCCTGCACTCAGCTGTGGGCTGCTCTGCATACTTCATCGCTTCAGCAAGGAATCCACTTTCCTCTGCTGAACAGCTAAGGCTCAGACAGATGTTTCTTCGTATCCACAGAGCATGATGATATAATTGGCAGAGCTTTTGGAGAGGAGCTGTCTGTATCTCTTTATGTGTCAGCTCCTTCCAAACCAGCTCCTCTCATCCCTGTCAAATCCTCCTCCGGCACCCTTCTGCCTTTCTGCCAGCATCTCCCTTTGGGTCCTGCTTCTGCGGAGCATTTGTCCATGGGCTGGGTACAGCAGGGAGAGGATACAGAGCCCTGCAGAGGATTAAAATGCTTGATGTTACCCCAACAGATAGGCTCCAGTCTGCATGGGCTCAATGCTCCATTTGGCATTTATTCCCCAGGAAAAACATTTACTTTGGGAGACGAAAGAGGAAAGCAGAAAATAAGCTCGCGCTCCCAAATCCAAAAACAAAGTATGGACTCAGAAATCCTCTAGTGCCTTTTTGGATGATTTCATATCTAAAAGAATGAATCCATAATACAATAGTGCTGATTCTGACATTTGAGTATTTACAGTGGGATCTTTCGCAGGTGGAACTTAGGAGAAAAAAAAAAACAGCTCAGAGGTTTTGTTTAAAAATGTACAACAAACTGTAGCTTAGCACCAAAGAGAGAGAAAAGCAGTTTATTGGCTTCTCACAAGCACTAGAATGTCAAGACGTCCTAATGAAGAATGGATGTATTTCAGAAAAAATTGTGAGCAAGAAACTGTCTTAGTTAAACAAATCTTCCCTTTTGCCTGGTTGGTAAATGATTAGAAAGAGGACACAAAAGGCAGGTATTGGAAGAAGAGAGAGGCTCCGAAGGTGCAAAGTCCAGATTTCGTGCTGTCGGAAGTTTAAGACTGAGGTCTGGGAAGAGGCATCTGCAGAGGCAGGGACCACGGGTCGTGCACTGGCTCAGATGCCAGCTCTGAAGAATATGAACCACTCGTGCCAGCTCTTGCAGCTTCAGTGTGACTTGAGGCTCTGTTTAAAGATCCTGGAGTCCGAAAACAGTATGAGAGGATTTCATCCTCCTTCACTACAAAATCTATTGTTAGGGTTTAACCTCTTGGTTGCTCAGCGCAGGACTTGCTCTTACGACATCCGTCTCTGAGAAAGAGAGGGAACAAAGCGGTGTGCCCAGGACTACTTAAACTGTCGTCAGATTTGCACGCAGCCAGGAAGGTATCTCAGCTGTGATGCCTTTGCCGCAATCAGTAACTGTGCTTTTCCACTTTGTTCTCTTTTGTTTTAGGGCCGTTGCATCAATTTCACCAGAGTGAAGAACACAGAGGCCCCACCCAAATACCCACTCAACAACGCATACCCTCCGTCATCCCCACCTCCAGCACCCATCTACAACCCCCCGCCCCCGGCTCCGATCTATACCCCCCGTTCGAGAGGCTTTTTCAGCAGTACTGTATCACATCCATCTTCCAGGGGGGTGGGGGGGCCTAGAGGAAGCCGGACCATTTTTGAAGTGGGTGACAACAGAACAAACGACTTTGTAGTCATCTTTCTCCTTTAGTTTTCTTTATTTTTAAAATCCCTTGTGCATCAGTGCCACCAAACTATCGAAGCAAGAAAAGCCAAGAGACTGCAGGAACAAGGTAAATAACTGGAGTTCCATTTCAGCAAGGCTCTCCCTGCTCTTTGTCCGCGACACTTCCCTGTGCCTTACTGTGGTGATTCCAGGATACATTGGAAAAAAGGAATGAATAACTAGAGTAAGCTCTCCAGAAAGGCAATTCTACCCAGGGAAGGACTGCAAAAGACTCTTCCAAGTGCAGACATCCCAGCTAGCTACCTGGAGACAACTGCACAAACTTCATGGTACAATACTCAAGGTATGACAGAAAGCTGATCTCATCTCACTCGCGTGCCAGCTGCCAAGCAAATAATGACAACAGCAGGTCTGCAAGTACAGAAACCCTTGTCAGTCTGAAAAGAATTGGTGACAGGCAGCTGTTCCCATGGACCGTGAATTGAAGAAGGGAAGGTATTGTCATCTCGGAGGGTCCGGAAGGGAGAAGGGATGGGTCTCTGGTGTCTGGATTTGCGTATGTTGGTATGTGGAAGTGCAGGTGAATGAAAATGGAGTGCCACTAGGAAAACGAATTACAAGGATAAATAAACCAGTCAGTATGCCATAAGGCTTTGACCCCATCCCCTGCGGACAAGGAACAACTGACGACAGGTCAGCCTTCAGCGCTCCCAGTGGGACAGAGGAGTTCATAAAAATTGGGCAAAGGAATCTGGGAAAGGTATGGTTGACAGAAGAGTCTTTGCATTCAGTTTAGACTAATTATGTCCATCTAGTTAATAGCTCTGCAGTTCAGCAGTGTAATTTAATGCTGGTTTCCATTTTAAAAGTAAAGTTTCTGGATATAAACTAGAGGTTAAGTGTATCAGTTTCTCTAAATCCAGTCTGCTTGGGCTCCTTGTTATTGTCAGTTTGAAATGGTTACCACTGATGCATTTCTGTTTTTTCTGTAAATTGCATTCTTTTGCCCTAGAAATGTGTCCACATGGATTTTTATTTTTTGTTTGCCTTTCCTGAATAAGTAGCAGATGCCTTCCAAACTCGTAGTGAAGAAGAGCCAGCGTGCTTACTCACTCTTGTCAACTCTCAACAACATCACTTCTATTAGCAGTTGTTGACTAAGGCAAAAATCAACACATCGGACATGCAAGATGGGAATCAGTCTTCCAAGAAATGCACTGGCTGCATTTCTCCATGCTTTCTCCTCGCCTTCATAGGACCCCCACTGTATTCCACAATATTGTGTACGCACATGTTTTATCCTATAGCAAACCTTCTGAGCACCTGCCTTTGCAACACAGTGCTAGAAATAGGTGAGATCACTCAGCACTTCAGTCAGACCTCTGGCTCTCTCATTTACTGTCAGGATCAGTTCTCACGAAATGACTCTCTCTCTGGAAATTGCGAAGTCATGAGAGGTAAACCGTCTTTGTAGCTGCAGTTCTATGAATATCTAAGGGTTCTCATATAATTTTTTACCAGATAAAGAAATGCTTTGCCAAATACTTCCTTCAGTGCTGTTGGAAATATTAATTCTAGCTTTTCTAGCAAAAAATAAAAAAAGGAAAAAGAAAAAAAAATGCTCAAGGAGGAAAGGGAATAGACAAAAAAGACTCAGTGGAGACTTGACCTGGGACTCCTTTGGTAAGGGCATTTGTGAATGAACCCTTACCATGAGACTCAGAGTCAGTCTGTCATTCACCAGCCTTACCCACCACTAAGTCAGTATATTGTCTATTAGATGAGATAAATACGTCAGTCACGACGGATCTGAAGACTCAATCTACAGCCAAGGCTGGCTGTTCTGCAAAAAGACTGATTAATTCACCCACACCACTGTTTTGTCTGCGGGCAGCACAGAGCAGTCCCCAATTAGGAGCAAAACCAACAGTTTTGCTACTCGCCATGTCAGATTGTATCAGCTACAGGCCGTGGTTAGTTCAACAAGACGACTTTGTGATTGTCAGGTGGGAGGGGGAAGCTTTTAGCACCCTGACACAAGTTTGGTTGGACTCCCTCTTGTGATGGATGGGATCTAGTTAAATAGCTGTTTGATTCGGTTTCATGATGAAAGGTGTAAAAACTGGGAATAGTGTAACACAGGATCAATAGATGTTTCTCTTAACAGATCCTCAGTATCTCAAAAAAGTTGGGAAAGGAAATTGGTTTTCAACAATATAACATTGAGAATTTTTTTTTTACATGTCAATTAACCAATAAATCTAAATCTACTGCTGAGGAAAAAAATAAAAGCAGTGTACACTCCGTGACTAAAGCTAACTTCTTGCAGATGTATATAGAAATTTTCATTCTCCCCAAGCTAAGGGAAGAAAACCCTGCGGTATTAAAGAAGCAAAATAAAACCTAGATCAGGCTAGAAAAATAATATAAAAGAGCCCCTAGGTAATCATCCAGTTTATGAATAAAACACAAACTCCAAATTTTTTGTTGTACATATTGTTAATGCATGCTTACCATATGTTAGATGGAAGCATTTCCTATCCATTGTGGATAAAAGAACATTTTTCAAGTTGTAGTAAATTATTATAAAGCCAATGACATTTCATGGCATGTTATTGTATCAAGCTGTGCTTGTTGTATTTTTTTCTTTATGGTTGTATTGCTTTTTTATAAATGTACAAATATTTCCTGTAGTGACGAGTACCTGTTTTACATAGCATTAATTGAAGCACTAGACCTCCAGGCTAGACACTCCCTTGATCCGTTGGCAAAGAGTTTTGCACATCGATCTGGGGTGGGAGATGGCCAGAACGTAGCGGGTAGAGACAAACGAAACGGGTGTGGGGTAACTGGATGCCGAAGCAGAGCACCCGTGCTGCTGCCAGTGAATCGGTTTTGGTGGACCCTTGGATTCTTCGAAAAATTAGAGCACGTTTGGTGGCAGACTTTGTGCCTGGGCTTGTGTTTAGGATCAACCTAAATGTGGCTGCTAAAATGGCTTCCCAAAAGTACCACACGTGCTTTTAAAAATCCTACTCCTTTTATGCCAGTCCCTAAAGATTAACTTAGGAACTTAACGTTAGCCAATCAAGAATGAAAATTTGGTCCTGAATTTAAATCAGCTTCCACTGACAATTAATGCTATGTGAATGAGGTTGATTCATCTGGTGTACCATATACTGATCTATGGTAGCCTATGTATTCTCTGTCTATAAAACTTTCCTAGAAACACGTTACACAGGCGATCAATCCACACTAGCCAATTTTTAAGCAAACGTTCATTATGGATCAAAAGGAGTTGAGTGGCACTCCATCGGCTCTGCAGTTTCCAAAGACTTCAGCAGGTCTCACTGTTTACTAGTTGCACATGCTCCTACATTGGCTGGTCTAAACAGCAACAAACAGATGTCTGATGGCATTCAATAAACAGTTGTTTCATTTGCTCTAAATAGGTCACTTTGATTACTCCTGTTTGTCACTCATGCAAAACTTTGTGTCAGTGTGTCTTGCAGCCTCAAAGGACTAAGCAGCTGCATTTGACATAGACTCAGATTTTTTTTTTTTAATTGCTAAAATGTCACAAATTTTTGCTGGCTGTATTTTGCAGCATTCACCCACATGAACTTTGCAGGCATCCAAATTCTCTCTCTGCTCTTTGGTGTGTGAAGGTATCTTCTGTCACTGTTTAGTTTGGGGAGAGGGGTGAACTTCTGGCTGCTGAGAGCTCTGGTGAGATCTGAGGGTAACCGGTCGGTAACACTGCCTTCTGTGTGGTGCTGATGCAGCAAAGGAAAAGAAACAAGCCTTCTGTTTTGATGTTGAATTACGTTTGTCAGTTCAGCCAGTGCTGTGCAATGATGTTTTACTCCCTCTGTTTGTTGCATGTGTCATTTGTTAAATTCAGTCATTACTCTTGCTGACCTTGATGTTATTATTAAAGAACTACACAAATTTGTGTTGGGCTCTATAAGATTCATTGACTAGGCAAAGTGAACGAAGCAGGAGGCAGCAGAATCCTAGTCAACAAGGTCTCTCATAAAACTGGCTTTCCGGCATCCTGGAGAACTCAGACTTGGTGATTTTCTTCCCAACAGCGCAGAGCATTGCTGCCCGACACAAAAGCTATTTTCATTCGGATGTGACACAGCCTAGGCTGTCTGCTCCTCCGCTGATACCCAGAGCCTCGCCTCCCAAACGCAGGAGAACTTCTCATTTCACACAGCTAGCTCAGCAACCTTTAACAAAGCCTAACGACTACTAGCAATAACTAAGCATGTTTCCTCTCACATTTGCTGATAGTCCTTCTTTCTTCCTCTCTGCTTCACTATCACTAACTCATGTGGATTTTGATATGGCTGGAATATTTTATTCCACAGAGAAGATTAACAGAGCATGAAGAAGGTCAGCCTCAACACCCTGCCCTCTTTCAGCAAAGCATGCGAGCCCAGGCTTTTTAGCTTCCTCTGAAAATGCGAGCAAGCAGTTTCCTCAGCACATCAAACCTGGCAAGTCTAGGCTCAATCTGGATTTTCTTGCTGCGTTTTATTTAAGCCAAACTTGTATCTCATAAATGCAAAGAGGGGAGCCACAGCCCTGCTCTCTCACTCTGAAAAAAAGGTGCTTTTTAAATGGAGACTACCAAAGAAAATCAGTTGCTCTTCTCAGAACAGGTGAAAAAAAATGCAAGGAAAGTGAAATATCAGCAGAGCCTGAACTCAGAAGAGACCATACAAACCCACCAAGCCTTGATAGTAGCTCTGGGTCTTTCAGGGCATGTATTTACAAAGAACTGGCTGCACAGCTAGACTCTGCGTAAAGTCCCATCGCTACACTGAGGAAAAAGACCTGAGAAAAACACTGTTGTGAGCCCCAGGCAGGCTTGTTCACCCTCTCAGTCAGCTGCCAGCCCTGCTGCCTCCAGAAACTCTGCTCAGGGAACTGCATTGTGCTACCATCATGGCAGACCTCCTCACCATACATACAAGAGAACAAAATTTCCCCAGACAGAACATTTTTTGGAGCAA